ATTGCACAACCAGGCACAAGAACAAGAAGTGTAATTTTCTAGTACATTTTGCCGATCTGCACCCATGTAAAGGAGATCGATCTCTTTTGTTCCCGAGGCAGGTATGTGGCGTACATCTCTGTCTTTTCCGCTGGCGTTGCAAGCGCGCTCCTCCTAAGCTAAAAGAGCGTCCACTGAGAAATAAAACACAGCAATCAAATGTCAAAGAGACCCTGCAATGCCTGTGACCAACATCCACTCCACCCTGCTGGCCTGGCCTCTCTGCTCACTGCTGCAAAATAATGGAAGCAAAATAGCATATCAAAATATGCATTCTCAATCAATAGTAAACTAAAATGCAAACACAGTGGATTAAACTCATATCAAAGTGCTTTAAAAGATTAGCTGAAATTCCATGGGTTAGTTCAGCATTTGTAAAATGCACTCACTTGCTGTCTTGCAAGAAATAGTAAAGATTTATATTTCTCTAATATTCAGCTTTTGAATATGAAAACATACTGTATTAGCTGAGCATGAATCCTAAAATCAAAAAACAGAGCCTGTCTCTACCTTAAAAGTATAAAACTGGATAACCTAAAGGTTTAAAATCACTAACAAATTAATTCTTACTCTTTTTCTAGTGAAAAGAGTGAAGTAAAGGCCACCGTGGACCCAGAATGACGTGGACCCAGCTGAAGAAAACGGCTCAGAACAGAGTCCGTTGGCGTGGTGTTGTTGCAGCTCTATGTCCACCAGGAGTCTACAGGCTTGACGATGATTTAAGTGAAAATAGCATACAGTTTTATGGTTTTAATAATGTGTCTCCGATACATTAAAACTGTTTGAGTTCAGGTCTGAAAACCAAAAATTGTATTCATCAATCATTCATTTTCTTTCACTTATCCATTTCAGGGTTGCGGTTGGCCTGGAGCCTAACCCAGCGGGGTAAACCCTAGACATGTACCACAGGCCTAACAAGAAACACACAGCCATTCACATCTAAGATCAACTTAAAGTCACCAATCAATCTAACATGCATGTGTTCACACAGTCCCAAAGAGTTCCTGAAGTAAAAGTCATGGGGAGACAATGCAAACTCCACACAGAAATGTTGCATAACTCAAAAACGTCTTGCTGTGAGGCAATGGGGCTAAACACCACAACACACAGCGGTGTTGCCCAAATTTTATTGATAGAGATAAAATTCCAGAAGAATAGAAATGCATTTTTATTAGAAATGATGCATCTAGATCTATTTAGGACTTTATTTAGGACATTATAAGGTACTCAAAAAAAATTCTGACAACAAATCTGTGGAGGAAACACCAAAGACGGCAGTTAAAGGAGATGATAAGTGTTTTCATGCACTGACATGAGTGCACAGCTGAGGTTCACGGCTGTTGTCGCAGATAAATCTAACACTTGAGGCAAAGATACACATAAGTAAATGTATTGTTTTATGGGTTTATTGTAGCCTTCACATAACTTGACATGACAGGCGTTTTTGCGGGACGAGCCAGAAACACTAAACACCACCAATACTACCAATTTTGCTCATTTGTAAAAGACATAGGAAAGAAGAACATAAGGACGACAAGAAGTTATGAACCTTGTTTTAAAGCAAGAAAGTTGTTCTCAATTACCCGAAATAACTTCTCGGCACCGTTACTAATAGCAGCAGCTTCAAGAAAGACTTTTTTAGAGTCACTGTTGATCAGGGGCAAAAATGTTGTCTGGACAACAACGTGTTTACATGACAGTGTACCTTTCCTGTTTTCTTTTTCATGCATGTACCCAGCGGGTTTGAGTAGGAGTGAACAGGAAAGGGGATGAGCAGCAGAGGGAACATCAATACTCGGTCTGACAGAGCAGACTGTTTCCCTCTGTGTGACACACTCTCATTGATTCACAGACGTGCACACATACACATGTCAAAGGTGCAGGCACAACAGAAAAAGGCCACTTGCTACATGACCCTAAATGATTTAAACAGTGTTAGATTCAACTATTATGGACTTCTTCTCATTCTTAAATCCCTAAACTCCAAGTCCGTCTTTATTTCATACTGATGATTTCCCGATCTTTCTTTCCATCTCTGTGCTCTCTCTCTCTAACTAATCCCTTCCTTGACGACAGGTGAGATCAACTAAGGCCTCCTGTGACTCCACCAGCTGACAAATCAAATCCAAATGGATCTAGATGAGCTCAAGGAAAAAGTGAGTCACATGCGTGTGTTTAACTTCACTAGTGGATTTGCGTTGTTCTTTTTTGCGCACGGTTGTTGTTGTTGTAGTCTACATATATTGGGTGGAGCTCATGCATACAGACTGGTTGCATGTGTCCATCTAAACTGACAGATGGCCAGAGGAAATGACATCTATACCAAGCGCCGTGCAACATAACTGCCCTTGCTCTCCTCTGCTCTTGCTATTACATGAGTCACTGTCTCTGGATGCTCGTGTGCATGTGTGTTTTTATAAAGGTGACTCTATCATGATTGTTAGGGGCAGCTGGCACAGTGCGGTCTGCCAGGATGCTGTGTCAGAGGCCATGCGAGGTGCCTGGTCCAGGAGCCCAGCGCCTACAGCTAATACCTGTCAAATCACATTACACATACAGCGTGTCACGAGTGAGATGAGCTCAGATCTGAGCTGCAGCAACCTGGCATGTGCATGCATATGGGTGTGGGTGTTGGTGATCTATGTGTTTTGGAAAGTGGTTTCAGTGTGAGGGTGGTTGTTTTGGTACACTACACAAAACAATTCAAAATAAAATATGGGTGTGGGAAACTGAAATTTCTCTCTAAACAAAATTAAGAAAAGACTGCATTTTGTAGTCTTTTCTCCACAAGTGTTACTGATGATTCTGTGGGATGATAATGGTTGGACACACTCTCCAATTTGTATTGTTTTATGTGTGCGTGTGTGTGTTCAAGTTTAAGCTGAAGACATTCAAATGCGACTTTGAGAGTGAATAAACTGAATATATTTATAAATTAAATTTGAATGTCAGCCCAGCTGAGCGAATGTTCTATGAATAACGATGTGCTGGAAGCTGTTGGAGCAGCTGCGAGATGTTGCGATGATGAAGTTTTCCTCCTGCCGGAATTTTTAAAAAAAAAGCAGAAACCTTGAAAACAGAAAATGTCAAAAGAACCTGCGCCTAGAATTACAACGCTTCTCGCTACACAAGTTTCTCTGATTGAATTTGATCAAGTCAATCAATTGAGGTTTGAGGGGTCATAGTGTGTGGTAAACAGTGTGCAGAAATACTAAAGCTCTTTCAAAAATGGTGAATACACCTCAAGTCTGCACACAGTGGCAGAAAATGGGTACAGTAGCACAGCTGGATGGTAGAGGAAGGGTGGAGTGTGTGGAGGCGAGTGTCAGGAGTGATTTGTGACAGAAAGATAACAGCAACAGTAACAGTGTGTGCAAGATGGTGACACCTGCTATGATCGATGTTTTATAGATGGTGGCGCTGATAAAAACACAGGTCTGGCTGGAGGTAACAGACCTAAAGATGCTAAGATTTTCACTGGCAGTGGCCAGATAATTAGAAATGAGTGCATGAGAGGGATAACTCAGGTTAACAATTGTTGAGACATATTTAAAGACACAAGGTTGAGATGGTTTGGACATGGTCAGAGAAGAGATGGTGGATGCACGGGGCAACTGATGCTGAGCTGTTAAGCAGGAGGAGAAGAAGATGACCACAGAGAAAGTTCACAGATGTAGTGAAGGAGGTCATGCAGACTGTTGGTGTGGCAAAGGATACCAGGAATAGAATGACGTTCCGCATCCACACTATTGTTTTCATTCATTTTCACAGAGTTGTGCGTCCACAATGGCCAAAAACACTTACGTTCCAGTACTGCGCATGCGTGAAGCGCAAGATGTTGAGGAAAAGCAGCGAATTTTTTAAATGGACTAACAATGAGGTGGAGTTGTTGCTGCGAGTAACACAAAAGTACAACGTTGGAAAAGCGAGTGAGAGTTAAAGAATTTGAAGAAAAGCTATCTACATGTACAAACTAATATTAGTCTTTAATAGGGCTGTCAAAATTGAGAGCAAACATAACAACTGATGTGCAATGCCCTCCGCTATCTTAGTTTAATTGGTCACATGACTACATCACATGACTAAAATGTGTCATCGTTTTCGAAAAGGCTCCTGGTTCGCTGTACACACTGCGTCACGAAAGCGGCGTTTTCAAATGTATCCGCTTTGGAGAACGTTTTCAAAAAGCTCCGTTTTCCTTGACCAAAACGCCGTCTCAGTGTGGATGGAAGGCCAAAACGGAGAGAAAAATATGCATTTTCAAACGAAAACGTTTTAGTGTGGACATGGCCTAAGGCACATTATCTGCTGTGGTAACCCCAAAAAGGGAGCAGCTGAAGGAAGAATAAGAAGGAGGAGTGCGTCACCGCCAACTGAGACCCTCTCTGTGCCTGTGTGGGTCCTCCAAGGCTTCTCTGGCTTCTTCCCATAGTCCAAAAAAATGCATGTTAGGTTAATTGGTTATTGTATATTGATGTAGGTGTGAATGTAGGCATGAATGTTGCTTTAGGCCCCCAGCTCCATCTCCCCTACGCTGGATAAACAGTTCAGGAAAAAAAGGATGCAGATCTCATTTTTAGCCTAATTAACATGAATTCAACATCTGAGCAATAAGAGGGAGGACAGATATGAAGAGGACGATGCTTGGCCTGAGGATAAAACACATGCTAGGAAATGTGGGAAAAGTGATTATGACAGAGATGACTAAAGCTGACCATTTTGTTCACAGTGTAGCAACAGCACACCTACACAAGAGTTAGATGTTATACTGTACGATAAGAGGGTGTGTTCTAGGTGGGATCAGACAAACCAGATAGAAAATACAAATTAGAACAACAATTAAGATGTTTTTATCTGGGCTATGAAAATAGATGTAGATGTTCTGAATCTGTGCAGTGTTCACACAGGTACAGTCACAGTTTGAGGGGTGGCGGTGGCTTTAGTCTCCTGGGTCTACTCACTAATCTCCAGCTGTCTCTGAATGCGTCCCTTGCAGCGCTCCCTGTAGTCCGACTGAGTGGTGTTGTATTCTGACATCACCTCGACAAATTTACGGGACAGTGTGGAGTGCTGCAGAGACAAGGAGAAACAACAAACCACTTCACCTGAGTCCGACTGATGCTGGCGCCAGACAGTAAATAAGAGAAGTAAGAATAAAGTCAATGCTACGTGAACAGGAGTGTAGCAGTGTACCAACTGCATATTACACACTAATTATATGCAAATGTAGCGTGTTCAGAATGGAAATAGGACAAATAGGCCCAACAAGTATACTCAAAGCAGTGAGTATAATACTATACTATGAATACTAACAGAAACACTTGATATTTTCATGTGCTGTTTGATAGACACCATTAATCCACATTGTAATGGGAGGAGGTAACCTCTCACATGTGAGTTTTATTTGTGATTACGGTTAGAGTTGGGGGTTTGAATGCCATGATGTCATCATCTGTGAAGTTGTCTCATCTTTGCTGATTGTCTGAGAGAAATCCAGCGATGTCCTCACAGAGTGGGGAGGGTGTTAACTAAAGTACTCAAATATGGCTCACCGTCATGCAGTAAGATGCAACTGGAGCACAGCTGTGATTCTTCTGCTTCCCTGAACTGTACCTGTGTTTTACGTATCCTCAGGTCGGCCGATGACCTGTTCTGCCCCTCCTCTTGCTCAATGGTTTGTTGGATACCTGGGCAAATGCACAAAAGTACACATTTGATCAACAGACAGCTGCTCTCTTTGAATAAAGCCTCCAATGCTGTCTGCCTGTAGAGATTAATTAAATCATACACAACGTACAGATTAGATGAATTAACAAAGATACCAATGATTTAGCTGTTCAGTAGTAGTGAAAATAAGGGTACGAATCCGTTGATGATACCAGAGGAAAGACGAGGAGGTTAATAAAAATCAAAAATGAACTGTAACCACGAGAGCAGAACTGTGCTCGCAAATCCTCATGGTACTCTGCTAAATAGATTATGAGGAACGGCAGTTCATTTTGTGTGCAGATCTGGCATTTTGTCCTGAGGCTAGAGCAAGAAGAACGGTCCAGAGGTTATTAAAAATACAAGAATTCAATATCTGGAGACCACAAACATACACATCCAAATTTATTAGAAATCCAGCTATTTGTTTTTGAGATACCGTGTTACAAGGTGGACAAGGGAAAGGATGAACTGTTACAAGAGGAAAGGCTAGGAGGTCAAATCATAATCAATAACACTCTGGAGGCTGTGAATTTTTTACCGCATTCGGTCAATGCTTGTGAAGCTGGGAGTGAAAGTGCTGGACACTTTGTCAATAGGGGAATCAAATTCTAATTCAACACCTGTAATCAAGAGGATGTGATCTATGATCTATGTATTAAACTATAATTATAACCCGGGGGTGGTTATTATATCTACGTATAATAATGTAGTAATGCACTAAGATTGCCATACATGCATGACACAAAGATTAACTAATCATACGTCAAATCAGTCACTCAGATGAATAATTGATGATGTGGAAGAAGCAGTGACTATTAAGAAATTCATCAAGGTACAAATTACTGGGGTGACTGTTCCCGTTCTAGTTTTCCAGTGACATGTTAGTGTGTAATAGTCACTTTTTCTTGGCTGCTTCTTCGCTGTCACACATCAGGAAGATGCTGCCGAGCATAATAACGTAAATGAAAGGCCATCAGAGGCCACGGGAAGTACTGTTGCTGAAATATACAGAGATGTAGCTTTCATTTAAATCCAGTTTTTCATTTAAGATGGGATTAGATGGCTGATGAAGGCTGCTACACCTTCATGGACACATCTTACAGTGAGATGTGCAGCTACACCTGACTTGTTACTGTAAGGGTCTGTGCTCGTTTCTATTTATACACACAGCTTCAGTATAACAAACTATCACAGCTCATAGGGTGTTAAAAACATGATAACTCATAATAAATTACTTGCTTTCAGGATCTCTGAAAAACGTGTACGATCGGTCTTGATCGATTCAGCCACTGGGGATGCTTCCTTTTTGCCAATTAACTACAACTGTGTATTATTTGGAAAACCCAGACAGGCTAGAGGAGTTGCTTTATTTATTTAACACAATAATTGGTTGTGTCACAAAGGAGACATTGTATTTTAATTGTTCCAGGAAAATCCACGATGGGTTTTTGATTTACTTTAACATAATCAGTATTGTGCATCATTTAGAAATCATTTCAAATTGGATTTTTGCCTTGAATGTGTTTCCAAAACCACTGAGAGCATGATTAAATCCACTCTTTGAGCTTGTTAAGTCTGTGTCTTCACAGTGCCAGGCTGCGCTCAGTACAACCTAAGAGTGGGCGATCGTGGCTCAAGAGTTGGGAGTTCGCCTTGTAATCGGAAGGTTGCCGGTTCGAGCCCCGGCTTGGACAGTCTCGGTCGTTGTGTCCTTGGGCAAGACACTTCACCCGTTGCCTACTGGTGGTGGTCAGAGGGCCCGGTGGCGCCAGTGTCCGGCAGCCTCGCCTCTGTCAGTGCGCCCCAGGGTGGCTGTGGCTACAATGTAGCTTGCCATCACCAGTGTGTGAATGTGTGTGTGAATGGGTGGATGACTGGATATGTAAAGCGCTTTGGGGTCCTTAGGGACTAGTAAAGCGCTATATAAATACAGGCCATTTACCATTTAAGAGTATTTATAACTCTAGGCACATATAGCTAATTAGGTACATCTTGTCCACAGCACAGAAAACGATCCTTTGCTTCACTACTCATACAAGTTTTTTCTTAATAAATAGTTTAGGTGCATGAAAATAAACCACTAGCACAAATATAAGAGGTCCTCAACAGCCAAAGCAGACTGTATATGCAGTACTCAATGCAGTATTGGTATTGTGAAATTGAAAATGTTCATTAATACTATAATTTCCCATCTTTATTCTTAACTGGAAAGCTATTTAAAAAGGCATTTGGTACATTTACCAGTTTTCTAGGAGGTACAAAGAATTCACTTTTTAATTGTCTTATTTTTCAATTTTGCTATTTTGATGCTTAAACCTACTTATTTGAATTCTTGGTATTTCTTGAAATAAACTTTCTTTAAAACTAAGTGAACAATTGACCTCACGAGTCACTCTAAAGCAAAAATAAGCTGCAGACACCTTACAACCAATTAAAAATAAATAAATCAGTGGTTGCCTGGTGATTCCGGTATTTTGTTATGTTGTTGTGATTATGCTGATGATAAAATGCCAGATTCAAACAACTACTTCAAATAAATAAATAAAAAACTGCATTGAGCCAGTTGTCTTGACTTCCACAAGTGCTTGCCTGCAGAACTTCAGCAGCGATTAATATAATAACTTTATGTTCATTTTGATTTACCAAAATGACCATAATTCAAAAAGACCAAGATCAACCTCTGAACCATCTGTTGTCTGTTTGCAAAGACATTTTGAATTATTCATAATGGTTAAAGAATACACATGAAATACAGTGGAGAAAATAATTATTTGGTCGTCTGCTGAATTTGTAGTTTTGCTCACTTACAAAGAAATTTTTATAGTAGTTTCATTTTAATGGAGGGAGACATAATATCAGAAAAAACACATTACATAAAATGTATAGATTGAATTGCATGTCATTGATTGAAATGAGTATTTGATCCTGAAGCAAAACAGGTGGAGAACACTTTGTTGCTGAACACAGCGGTAAGCTGTTTAATTGTTCTTGGTCATCAGGTTTGCACAGATTTCAGGAGGGATTTTGATTCACTCCTCTTTACAGAAACTCTAAATCCTTTAGATTTCTGCTGTTTCAACCCCCCAAACAGATTTTCTACCGACTGAGGTCTGGAGACTGGAAAGCTCACGCCATGACCTCAAAGTGCTTCTTATTTAGCCACTCCATTGTAGCCTTGAAGACATGTTTTCAGTCTTTGTCATGCTGTGTAATCAATGGTGTTCTGGGTGACTGTGGTTCCAACTGCTTTTAGATCATGAATAAACTCCTCTGGTGTAGTTTTGTGCTGACCCACCACTTTTCTCATGATCATCCTGACCCCATGACCCATGAGGGTAACTGATGGTCATTTTATATTTATTCCATTTCCAAATTATTGCACCAACAGCTGTCAATGTCAATTCAATTTTATTTACAGTGGGGCAAAAAAATATTTAGTCAGCCACCGATTGTGCAAGTTCCCCCACCTAAAATGATGAGGTCAGTAATTTGCACCAGAGGTACACTTCAACTGTGAGAGACAGAATGTGAAAAAAAAAAATCCATGAATTCACATGGTAGGATTTGTAAAGAATTTATTCGTAAATCAGGGTGGAAAATAAGTCCAGGCCCGTCTGAAGTTTGCCAGAGAGCACATGGATGATACAGCAGAGGATTGGGAGAATGTCATGTGGTCAGATGAAACCAAAGTAGAACTTTTTGGTATAAACTCAACTCGTCGTGTTTGGAGGAAGAAGAATACTGAGTTGCATCCCAAGAACACCATACCTACTGTGAAGCATGGGGGTGGAAACATCATGCTATGGGGCTGTTTTTCTGCCAAGGGGACAGGACGACTGATCCGTGTTAAGGACAGAATGAATGGGGCCATGTATCGTGAGATTTTGAGCCAAAACCTCCTTCCATCAGTGAGAACTTTGAAGATGAAACGAGGCTGGGTCTTCCAACATGACAATGATCCAAAACACACCGCCCGGGCAACAAAGGAGTGGCTCCGTAAGAAGCATTTGAAAGTCCTGGAGTGGCCTAGCCAGTCTCCAGACCTCAACCCCATAGAAAATCTGTGGCGGGAGTTGAAAGTCCGTGTTGCTCGGCGACAGCCCCAAAACATCACTGCTCTCGAGAAGATCTGCATGGAGGAATGGGCCAAAATACCAGCTACTGTGTGTGCAAACCTGGTAAAGACCTATAGTAAACGTTTGACCTCTGTTATTGCCAACAAAGGTTATGTTACAAAGTATTGAGTTGTATTTTTGTTATTGACCAAATACTTATTTTCCACCCTGATTTACGAATAAATTCTTTACAAATCCTACCATGTGGATTCATGGATTTTTTTTTCCACATTCTGTCTCTCACAGTTGAAGTGTACCTCTGGTGCAAATTACTGACCTCTGTCATCATTTTAGGTGGGGGAACTTGCACAATCGGTGGCTGACTAAATACTTTTTTGCCCCACTGTATATAGTGTTCACTAAGCTTCTTGCTGATGGTATTTTAGCCCATTCCAGCCTTATGCAGGTCTACAATCTTGTACCTGATGTCCTTTGACAGCTATTTGATGTTGCCCATGGTGGTGAAGAGGTCAGGACAGGTGTGCTTTATGCACATAATGAGTTGATTCACTGATTCTGATTTGTATGCTACATCTATGCTAGCCTGAGTTCTCGCAAGGTAGGAGGGGATCAAATACTTATTTCACTGAACAGCATGGAAATCAATTTCTAACTTTTATGTGTTGTTTTTTCTGTGTTTTTGGTCAATATTCTGTCTCTCTCCAATAAAATGAAACTATCATAAAAATTAGAGACTGCTAATTCCAGCGAGCAAACTGAGCAAGGGGTTCAAATAATTATTTCTCCTACTATATATAAAAAGTAACTGCTGTTGCTCCCTCTTCAGGATCTATCATAGGGTGCACTCTGAGGTCACTCAGTGAAACACACAGAAAGCAGCAACACAAAGGTATCCTGTGGCATCAAATGACGTGAACTGGAGTGACACAGTGGACTGTGATGCAAGGCCTGGTCTGCCTGACAGCACTTTGTCAAGCGTGTGCCTCCCGATACATATATGTATGCTTATCTTTGTGTCTCCAGGCTGTAGGCATGCCAGATGAAGGATAAGGCAATCATCTTCTAGTTCTGTGCACCGAAGTATATATTTATCTTCCTTTAATACAGAGTATACCGTTTCTTTACTGAATCTATGAGTGTAAACCAAGTCGTCTGTCAGCTGCCAAATGCTATACAGTTCACTGTCTCATTATGTCTCACTTGTTACCATCTCGCCGATCCTAAGAAAGTACCAGGACCACGAGATAAACCACTGTGCACACATATAATAAACAGCGCAAGAAAATTATTTTACATGGTCATTAACCAGTTAATTGGTCTCTAATGTATGAAATTAAGATATTCAGTTTGCTAACACATTGAAAATGCTTGTCAGAATCTCTCTAGTTCCATGTTGGCAGTCCAAAGCCTTCATTTTTCAGTTTACAGTGATGTAAGTCAAGGAAAAGCTGCAAAATCTGAGAAACTGCAACCTTAAAATATTTCAGACTTTTTGCTTTAAAAAAAAAGAGATAGAAATTAAACATTTTACTCCTGGTAGTTTCATTCACAGTTATTAGAAAATTCCTCACATCCTTGTAGACAATAAAACAATTTTGAGCATTTATTACATAAAAATACTGTCATACTCAAAAGTGCAATAATTTTTGGATGCCAATCAGAGTTTTGGGAACCAACTGGTCACTAATTCTCAGAACAAGGCACATTTAAATAAATTAAACAAATGCAAAAAAGTTGAAGCAGCATAGAAAATAATAGTAGCGGCTCTGGCAGGCGAAAAGAGAAAGAAAGTATACCCACTCTTTAACTTGGAGCGTACTTTGTTGGCCAACTTCTTGATGTCTGCCATAAGATCCTCAAGTTCAGCTTTAGTTTCTGAGAGGAGATGAGACAAAAAGGAGAGGATGTGTTAGTGGATTACATACTAACTCAGCCAAGCACATAAACCACTGGGAAATACGATTTCACAGGCACCGACTCCATACTGACACACAGGAAGTGTCGCTCCCAACAGAGACAAACATTCATCACTTTCAGTCCACAGCAGCACAATTCATCCTTCTTTAACCTTCCTGCCTTCTTGGGACCTTTTTGTGCCACTGCTATGTGTTAAATGGCTGCCATTTCCACTGTGTTCAGTGGAATATAACCAAACTTGCCACAGGATAGTTTTTACCTGTCAATGTTAATATTCCAGTGTGAATTCCTTAAATCAGCCTAAAATGGCTGAGCACTCACTAGCTGGACAACACACTACACAGCTCACTAGCTGGACAACACACTACACAGCTCACTAGCTGGACAACACACTACACAGCTCACTAGCTGTACCCACACAAAATGGCACTCTGGCCCAGAGCTCACCCTGCTCTGGGCTTAAATACCCTTAATTGCTGATGGGAGTCAGCTGTACAGGAGGGAAAGGTGGCACCTCAGGCAGGAGGTAGTGGGACACGCCCACACAGGCACCCTCAGGAGAGAGAGAGGCCCTGCTAGGGCCGTAACAGACCCCTGGTGAGGACAAAGATGTGATCGTAGCAATAAATCAAATCACGATGGATGAAAAATCTGGCCTACAACAAGATGAATTTAGTATATTTTAGTATATACTGTATAAATTTGATATAGATGATGGAGTTACTAATACATTTAAAATCTCTGCCGGCAGTTTGTACTGATCGTTTAATACGCAGAAAATGTTCAAATGGAGAAAACAGCGGGTACTAGAACTGGAACAACTGGTGTAGCTTTGATCAACGATGAAGACTTGAAACATTTGCTAGTTTCAGGTCAAATCAGTATAATATGTTATAGGAAACAGGGAAAAAGGTAAAATTTATTTTGTGAGCACAAAGGAAGTTTTTCTCTTCAGTGAAACCTTCAAAAGTCAGCAGCAGTGAAGGGCCCACTCAAGTGCTTTCCATGTTCAGGTTATCACAAATGTGAAAAAGGCACTGGAAATACATTTATTTTCTGTAGCAGTCAAATTTGTGGCTTTTTCCATGTAAAAGGGCCACTGAAGCATTAACCATTGCCTGTTTAAAGGCTGAATACATCCATTTACACTGAAGAGAATTCATCTTTTTTCATATATGGATCTACATTTTCTTATAAATGTGCAGAAGTGCATTTTCATAATTTTTTCCATGTGCATTCATCACCAACACAACCTCAATTAACCTCAATTTATTTAGGGCATGCTATTTCGTTGTTACAGTGAAATAATTGCATGGCCTCATATTAGAAAGTACGTTGTTAATCATTTGCTTTATGACAACGACAGCAGTGGAGGAAGTAGCAGGGAGATAATAACATTTACAGTGCTGTGAAAAAGTATTCGCTTCCTTCCTGGCTTCTTAGTTTTATGCATATTTATCACACTTAAATGTGTCAGATCATCAAACAGATGCTAAAATTTAGGAAAACATAACCTGAATAAATACAAAGTGCAGCTTTGAAAGCATTATTTCATTTATTAAAGGACAAAAAAGCTCTTCGATCTTACTTGACCCTGTGTGAAAAAGCACTTCCCTCCTAAACCAGATAAGAACTCCAATCAAGATCTGTGATAATTGTGAGTTTGTCACATCACTGTGTAGGAATTGTTGCCCAATGTTCTTTGGAGATTTTTTTTTGAATTGCCCCCTCTGTGATGCCAAAAACAACCTGACCCATCAGGGCATGGACAGAACACCTCTGGTTTCATCTGGAAATACAAATCATTTGAGTCCCGCAAGTCAGAGAAAATGGAAAAGCTTTCACACATATTCCCTCTCTCTATCACACACACACACACACACACACACACACTACCCTGGAGCATTAACTGCCATTTTTAGCACATTGCAAGGGGGTGAGAAACTCATTTATCATCTTAATGCCATAAAAGAACCAAATCTCCATATGTTAACAAGCTGTAGGAGGCCAGCATGAATAAAAGATTCTTCTAAAAAGTTATTCCGGTCAACCTATTCAATCAAAACAAACCGCCTGCAGTAGTTCTTTCTAATGAGTTTGTTTCTGCGTAGTTCCCTCCTTTTTAAAGCTGAATAAATCACAACGATAAATAACGGCCAGTTTTAGCCCCACTAAACTAAAATTCGTGCTAAACATCTGAACCCAATTAGAGACACAGCCTCAGTGGATAATTTGATTACACAGTACGAGGAATACTTCAATCACTGCTACATGTTCAATTACTGAAATATAATATTTGCACATATCTCTGATGGGAAAGAAACTGAGAAATGTGAAATCATCATCATCTCTTCCTCTGAAGCTACAATACAGATCCATATTATATGAATGCTCCTCATGGCAGTCTGGGATATAATTTTAATGATTACGGACAGTCAGAAAAGCCCACATGGATGGCAAACTGAACTCTGAAAGGAGAATGTTATATTTGGATTTTAGTGACACTGAATAATACCATTCATACCATTTCATCTAAATCCTAATCAGGAGCTCATTCAAACAAACCCTCACTGATGCGATAATGCAAAAGATGGTAAACCATTTATAGACTGATCAGCAAAGCACTACAAGACTTTAATCTGCTTAACAGATGCATTTCCATATCAGCCTGTGGTACGTACAGCTCAGTGAGACAAAGCTGTGGACACATAGAGTGCTGGCTGATAGGTGTCATTTCACATACAGCATTTTTGTTTTGTTTGTTTTTAAACAGCAAAGTGGAACATTTTCATTACACGGACAGCAAACACACTGATCACCCTAAAGTCTAGCTTCAAACACATCAAGAATAAATCTGAATCTATTTTTTTTTTACCAATAAATTAAAAAAAAAAAAGAAAAGCCAACAATAAATTTATTGTATCACCAAAGACTTCCTTAAAGCTCAAGCCTGAAAAGCCTTTTCATGATGTGTATCACTGATCCAGACGCACATCCTTGCAGGAGATTGTGTTTAAGAAATGCCAGAAAATACCTGTTTCAGTAAACGAAATGAAACAAAAAAAATTTAGGATATATTCAAGCGTCTTTTTGAAATGTGATGCACAAACACTGGGCAAAAATCCAATTAATAGCAAATGAAAGATGTAGAACGAGAACCTCGGGAATAGAACCGTGAGCACAGGATCATTTTCCAGATAAAAAAAAACAAAACAAAAAAAACTTATAATGGAAAGACTCACTCTCTTGAGTTTACAAAAAGTAGATGTGGAAGAAAAGAAGGGGGTTTAAAATTGTTCTTTTAAGAGGACTATGCATATAAAGTGAGATCATGTATTCTGTCCCTTCATTTACATTTGTAAGTCTCTATTTCATAAAAGAAATTAAAGGTGGGAAAAAACACAGAATTAATGTAAGTCTACCATATCAACACTCTCCAGCTACAATAAATAATAACCTACCAATGTTTTTAAGAAAAGAAAAAGAAAGCACAAGTTAGAGTACCAAGAAATAGCTACTCCACTCAGGAAATGAGCAATTGGGAACTAGATCCTTGGTATGTGTTTGAATAAGCCCATATCGCTTGCAATTAATTTTGCTGCCTGTGGCAACAGCAAATACTGAGTTTGTCAGGGTCAAACACTAAGGTGGTGGGCTGAGAGCTTCAAGGCAAAATAACAGTGTATGTGCTATGCATGCATGTGGACATGTGCACACTTCTTCATAAGGCTGATTAGTTTCAGTTGTGTAGGACTGAACAGATCACCGATACATGACATCAGGCAGCTGCGGGCTAACCTTCTGTGTCATCCCTCATTTTAAATGTCAATATAGCAAGTCTCACTATTGACAACAGCTATATGTTGTGAATATATGTGTAAATAAAAAAAATAACAAATGAAACCAAAACAGACTTTACATAGATTCTCACAGATATGTGAGGAAGAAAAGGCATGAGAAACTCTGCTTCAGTATCTGGTGCAGCCAACTTGTGCCGCAGTAGCTGCTTATCAGTCCTGCACATCAATGTGGAAGAATTTTAACCCATTCGGATCAGAATGGTCAGAAATTTGATCAGAACACATTCATCTTTGAGATGGTTGGTTTCCACACATGAACTGCTCACTTCAGGACATTTAACAACATTTCTGCTGGCTTAAGGTCAGGACTTTGACTTGGTTGTTCTAAAACACCATTGTTATTTTTCTTTGGTAATACAACTGATGTGCTGAGGGTTACTGTCTTGCTGCAAAGCCTGCTGGTAAGATTCAGTTCACAGACATCATCCTTAGAATAGCTATAATATTTCAAAATGTCTTGCTCCATCAATCATGGGCAGCTATTCTTGCACAGTTGTGGCAAAATAAACCCAAACCATGATAATACTATGACAATGGCAGTTTTCATGCTGGAGTGCGGTCTTTGTTCCTTTTCTCCAAACATAAAGTTTCATATTAATTTCATCGGTTCATAAAACATTGTTCAAACAACTTTATGGATTCTTCCTGCGATCTTAAGCAAACTGCAAGATGAGCTTCTTGCAGTCTTCACATACACACCAGTTTCTTTTGATCGTTGACTCATGAACATTAATCAATGTGCGAAGGTCTTTCGTCATTTTGGAGTCTTGAACTTCAATCTGTCTGACTGTGGATGGGTGAAATCTAAAGTCTTTAGAGACAGATTTGTAACATTTTCCAGTCTGATTAGCATTCATGACTGATTAGCATGAATTCCTCTTACTCTTACTTTCTAAAATGTGTTGGGATTTTGATTGTTCTTGAAATAAAAACATTGTGCTCATTCATAAATGATTACAACTTGAAATAAACCTGTAGGCCCGAGTAACAGGTTGTGATGTGATGTTTGTGAGCGGTTGGTTGAGGTTGTTGGTAGTCACTAGGTAAAACTGTTTGCAAGGAGATACATGGCACACTGAGCCTAAAATCTCTCTGCGA